GGGGGTGGATTTCATGTACACAAGACACAACATATACACACCCACCTACCAAATACCCTGGGGCTAAAATGGGTTGGCATGGTTTTGCTAAAATCATCGCTCCCCAACCTCCCAACATATTATTCCATCACCATAGTGCGCACACAGTAGATGGGGGGCGCCCAACGTTTACATACATCTCCAGCCCCACACACCTCCCCCCCAAAAGGTTGATAGAATGCTATTAGATTCTGGCTAAAAAATATTTTTGTTTATCAGGGGCTCAATAGCCAGGGTAGGCCGACGGGGATGGTCCGACATTCAAGTCTAGCAAAACCGCTAAGTGCCCCTCAAAATCTAGAAACCATATCATTAGTGCAAGCGCTTCTTCGGGGAAGCTTCCCCCGCTGCCTTCAGGGCGGCCGGGGGAGCTTCCTTGAAGAAGCGTGAGCTATCCTGCGTCCTCAGTAGTAGCTACCTACCTCTAGCGGCCTACCCCTCCTTTAAAAAAAATAAAGAATCTACCACACATGACCTGGTTGGAGCGGTACTCGACGTCGTCGGATCGCGAGGATCCCCAGCTGTCGACCGATCGACCCGGTTCCCGACAGCACGAAGCACCTTCTTGTTGCTCAACAGCTTGCTATCCTCGCGGATGGAAGGCACTCGCCAAACGTCACAAACACTCACCAAACCATCGCTGGGACTTCTGAATTGCAGGCACTGGCCATTGAGGATGGTAGGGTTTGTAGGAGTACTTCATTTGCATCCCAAAACTGCATGCAATGTGTAATGGTCCTTATCAGCTACGGAAGGCACTTGGTCCCATTTTTAATCGGGCAACTCAATGTCTCAGGTGCGGCTGATGCTGTTTCAAAGATAAAATTCCCACTATCCTCATCACGGGGGTCCGAGCTGCATCAACCGAGATGGTGTCGGACGAGACCGCCGATCGGTCCTTCAATGGCTTGTCGAGCGATGTCTCACTCGTGGTTTTGAGGTACTCGTCCAATCGCCGGGCAAAGGGAGTTGTCTGAGAATTGATGCAGAGTCTGAATTGCTAAAGTCGGAACATAATGGAGCATAAATGAACATAAGCACATGTTGTCCCATGTGTTTGTTTCCGTGTGCCAAAAGCATCCAAAAGCTGCTAGTCTGCTTTAGACACACACTCTGACGTTGGTATTCAGTTACACTCAATTCCCAGGTAAAATGGCGATGGAACGGCAGGGTGGCAGAGTCCGTGAAAAGGTATTGTTTCAACAATGTTTGCAAGCGCACTTGAAGAAACGGACATTCATCGCTGCTGCACGTCGGCTGCATGTCTGCGGTGGGACAAAGGGTTTGGGGGTAGGTGGCATGAAGAACCATGGAATCAAACAAAGCAAATTAGACAGCGTGGTCAAAAGTTCAGGTTGCAGGTACGTCGAAAGAGCGTCCTCTTTCGATATCCTAGTCTGAACCTGGAGCTTCGTTGGCTCACGCCAGGAACAGACCCGTGAGCCCCCCTGCTTCGTGGGGTGGTGGCAATGGAAAACTGTGGCAGTGAACCCTTTGGTACAGGGGGTGACACACACACACACACGCACATAAAGGCTTGCACCCAAGCCACAAACATCACCGCAGCATAGTACCAAAAGCCAATGCCAGCCAGGCCGGCAAAAGCCTTGTCACTGAATCATGAATATCTGCTGGCAACTGGCAACAGCATGAATTAGACCCGGAGTGCCTTCCTCGAGACGACGGAACAATGCAACTGACAAACAGCAGGTGACCATGCACAAAGTACTCAACCAATCCACCTCTCCATGACAGTTGCTGAAGAGAAACATATAGTCATAGGAGTCATACACCTGCCTACAGCCAGCGTACATGTTTGCATTGTACATAACTGTACCATACCATCCTTCCAACCCTCCCACGGTGTTCCCTCGAATCTACCGAGCTGCCGCCCGGCTCCGCATGTGGAGCTTCGCCTGGCGAAAAGGACGGAAAGCTAGGCGGCCAATTCTGTAGCCTTCAGAGGATTGAAGATCAAGAAACCTGAACACATCAAAACACATCCAACCATGACACGTTGCCTGGGTGGCTTGTGCGGTCATGGCGTCAAAAGCTGTGAAAAGCCTCGAGCCCTAGAAAACAGATGGTTTGATTTGGTTGAAGCTGAAGAGTGATGAATCATGAAAAAATGAAGCAAGTTATACTTCAATGGCACTGTCATACACTCCGTCTGTTGGATGTCACTCTGGCCGCCTTTCATTGATGCTGATCGCTTGGCTTTGAATCTCG